CACAAACTAGATCGGATCCGATCAATTTTTCGACGGAAAACGTCGGTTTCTGGAGCGATTCCGTACGGATACGACGTTTTCCGGTAGGAAACCCAGCTAAGATCCGACAATCTACGATTTTAACATACCCACACCGGATCCTGTCGGACCCATCTCGGATCCTATTGAGAACGAGCATCGGATCGTACCCGATCAGATCCGCTCCGGAATCCAGCGCAAGGAACACAACATAACACACGTCGGATCCGATGCGATTCTGAAAAGAGGACGTCGCTTTCTCCAGCAACTCCGCATGGGATTCGTCGTATTTCAGTCATACACATGCTCGGATATACAATCCGCGCAGTCATCGATCCAGCTACCATCACATAGACCATCGTTCCCTCGACCAACATTTGCATCACGCAATCATGCAAGCATTCATCACAGCTCTCCCGCACAGCAACATCGTTTCTTGGATCGCACACTCGACCACATAACCAATGGTTCACTACAACTACAACAGAATAACCAAGAACAGTAACCAACTCTAACCATAAACTCCCAAAATTACCAACAATGAATTTCCTGAAAGCAAGACGCAACCATCCTTTCACACAACAAAAAACACCATATCGACCTTTTCCATAAAATCAAAACAATATTCGAAAGTGAAAACAATTTCCTTTCCTCGACACCCAGCATACAGCCACAGTGAGCAGCACGTTCTCCTCCTCGAAAACCTCCCAAGCAAACACACATATGCACATCTTACGCCACCAACATACTTAAAAATACGATTACCATGTCATCTCACAGATAACTTTCTCCTGAACACATTTCCACAACTAACAAACTCGAAATTCACCAAAAATGCACATAAAAACCTAATTCCTAAGAAAATACGATAAAACCAATAAAAGTACACAAAGCTCAGATACCACGACAAAAATTATGATTTCCATACGATCTCAAACTCAATTCACCCAAGAAGAAATTTCTACAAGTCGTGCATTCGAAAGTGAGCAAAAGTGAGCATAAAAAGCTCATGCTCGAGAAAATAGTTTAGAACCACATAAAAAATATACAGCTGAAATAGAAAGCAAAAAAAATATGACTTTGATACGATCTCAAAGATTATTTCCGGAAGAAGAAATTTCTACAAGTCCTGCATTCGAAAGTGAGCAAAAGTGAGCATAAAAAGCTCATTCTCGAGAAAATAGTTTAGAAACACATAAAAAATATAGCGCTGAAATAGAAAGCAAAAAAAATATGATTTTGATACGATCTCAAAGATTATTTTCGGACGAAGAAATTTCTACAAGTCCTGCATTCGAAAGTGAGCATCTCGGACTCGCTTTCTTAGATCCCATGCAGCCAAAGCCCGACTGCGAAACAACCTTCAACAACATAATACGTGATGATTTCCACGTAATCTGAAAGATATGTCCAAATTAGGACAAGTTCGACTTGTGAAAATCAAAAGTGACCAAAAAGTGAGCATGGGCTTCTCACTTTGATAGAAACCCGTGTAGCGAAAGTGGCACTAACGAAAAGCTTTCCGAAAAAGATTACGTGCCATGATTTCGATGTGATCTCAAAGATATTTCGAAATTAGGAAAACTTCGAGTCGTGAAAATAACAAGTCAGGAAAAACTGAGCATTTGCTGCTTCCCTTCATACAAACTCATGTAGGTTAAGTCAACCTAAAAAATAAGTTCCCGAAAAAGATTACATGCGCTTGCATCTATGCCATCTTACAGATATTCCGAAATTAGGAAAACTTCGACTTGTGACAATAATATGTGAGGGAAAATGAGCATTAAATGCTCTCTTTAGTAGGAACTCTTGTAGGCTAAGTAGAGGGAAAAAATATGGTTGGGAAAAAATTACATGTGACGATTTGGATGGGATCTGAACGATGTTTCCGAGTTAGGAAAACTTCGCGTCATTAAAATAACTGGTGAGCAACAAGTGAGGATGTGGTGCTCACTTTCATACAGACTGAGGTAGCGCTATTCGAGCGAAGAAAGAGCTTTCAGAAATAGATTACGTGTGATGATGTCGATGTGATGTCAAAGATGTTTCCTCCTGGACATAACTTTGCTATCTGGGACTGTGGAAAGTGAGAGAAAGTGTGTATAAAAATGCTCGTTTTCGAAAAACATCTTTAGATGGATATTCAAGTAGATCCATGCGGAAAAGAAATTTAAAGAAGGTGATTTGAATATGATGTGAACGTTATTTTTTCATTAATGAAATTTGATGGAGGCCGAGTTTGGAAAGTCAGCCGCAGTTAGGAGGAAATTCTCGGTTTTGAAAGAGTACGTTAGAACAAGGTATAAATGCCGAGATCGGTAGTAGAAACATGAAAAGGACGGTTTCGATATGTTTGAAAAGAATTTATTAAGTGGAAGAAATTTCGTAAAAGCGAAGAATGGAAAATGAGCAAAAATGGAGCGTTAAACGGTGTTTCCTGATGTACTACTCGGGAATAAGAGAAACTCCGAATGTTTCTTTAGGAATAAAGGTAAAACGGTTGGATTTTTGTGTGTAGTTAAAGATATTTCTAAGTGGAAGGTAGTTTGGTGTTATGGGAAAACGGAAAGTAGGAAAAATGAGTAGAAAAACGTCATCTCGGACAGTGCAGTTTCGAGGGACGTGGAAGGGCACATTTGGTTAGCAGAAGAGATAAAAGAGTAGGGTTTGATGTGGATGTTGATGCTAGTTCTGGATTGAGAAAGTTTCATTTTGGGCAAAAATGGATCGTGAACATTGTACGGTCAATTTTGCTGTGTTTTGATTCGATCAGTATGGCGAGATTTTTCTGTTGGAGTTATCGTTGAGATCATGTATAGATCAGATTTTGCTACGTTCTGATCAAGTGACATTTTCAGTCAGACATTGTTTAGTTGAATTATTGTCACAGTGAGAGTGGTGCAATCGCGTTTGCTCATTTGTGGTTTGCAGATAAATTGCGAAAGATGTTGGTTTTTGGATGCTCTTTGGGATTCTATGGTCATCGTATTAGGTTGAATTCTCCGTCGACATTTAGATGTGTTTTCAGATGGTATGGATTAATGTTAGGATTAGCCAGCGTGGTTCGGGGACTTGTTGTCTAGTCTCTCGTTTCTGGTTTCGGCAATGTGGAAAAGGTTTCACCATAGTATAATTTTTAGAGGTGTTTCAGAAATGTAATGTTAAACTTTGTCGTTAATGAAGCTTTTTTTCTTGGTTGAGCTGGATGATTTGTGTGGGAAAGTAAGGATAGAATGTTTGCCCCGGTTCATTTAGGTTTTTGGAGTGGACGGAAAGTGGTTGCGGTCGTGGAGGTTTTAGTTCTGAGTTGAGTTACCTCCGTTTTGTGTTTTTGCCCAGGAAAACGTGTCGTAGTATGATTTTTTGATGAGTGTTTGGAATAGTGATCTTTGAACGGTCGTGTTATGCCTTTTGTTTATGGATGGAATTTATGTCTCCTAAATTGGATTTCAATTTCTAATGATAGGAAATCATTGTGTCGTATCTTGTTCATTGTGGAGAGAATGCAGTGTGACCTGGCTCTTTGTGATGATATTGAAATTATCATTCTAATGTTTTTTCTGACCGTCAGTTTTTGTTGTGGGGTTTTTACAGGATATACTGTGTTATCCGTGAGGGATTATGACATTGTAGTTGGGTTTGTTTTGTGGATTAGCTTATTAATAGATTTTGTATCTGCGTGCGATGGATTATTCTCGAGAGAGCGTGTGAATGAATTCTGTTCTCGGTTTCTGTTATAGAAAGTGACTTATGCATAGAAATCGGTTATTGATTGCTCGCGAGATAACATTGTTAATCGGAATAGATCTGCATCTCTTGGTTCCTCTGTCTCTGCTGTAGGCATCCGGCGTCTTCTGAATTCTCTGAAAGCTGAGATTTATATTAATGAGGATCACCTGGTTGCCGGATTCCTGTCCGGAATTGATCGTGTCGCCTCAGAATTCGGTAGAATTTCACGGAATCTGGTGGGAAATTAGGATATTCGGTGGGATCCGATCATCGGATCTCTGGCAATTCATTTCCCGGTGAGTTCCGGACCGGAGAGAAGCGGAATTTTCCGTATCCGATAGGATTTATTTGGGATGGTGACATCTGGCATAAATCCGATGGCACCCGATTGTCGGATTAGAAATGATTGGACAGAATCTCTTCCGGCATAATCCGATTCGGTATCCTGTTGGCGGACTCTGATGAAATCCGACTCTACCCGCTCTAGAATCTGGCAATATCCGGGTTGTTCCTAAAGGTAGCTCTGAGCGGATGCGATGTGATTCGATAGGTTTTTAACGGAAAACGTCGGCTTCCGGAGAAATCTGGTGTCGGATCCGATGGCTTCCGGTATGATTCACATGACGGATTGAATCATCTGGATATATCCGGGTTTTTCCCAAAAGGTAGTTCTGAGCGTATACGACATGATCCGATTGTCGGTTTTGAAAGAATCCGACCGTATCTCTTCCGACGTAATCCGATTCGGAATCCTGTGCATGGGAATCCGACACAAACTGGATCGGATCCGATCGGTTTTTAATGAAAGGCGTCGGTTTCCGGAACAATCCGGTATTGGATCCGACGGTTTCCGGTAAGATTCACAGGTCGGATTGGATCTCCTGGGCTTCTGATCTACCTGACAATGACTGAAGTCAAAAAGACATTTAGAAATCAATGCCAGAGACTGAATCGTCCGGACTTGCATAGTTTTCTGTAACAATAACGTCTCTAAACTGAACTCTTTGAGGATTTAAATAGCAATCAGATTTTCGAGGGTGTGGGTGTGGGGTGTGAGTGAGCTTCATGTCCCCGTTTATTTCCATCCACACCCACACCTACCCTGTATTACTGCACCCACACACATCCACACCCACACCCTTTTATGGAAACTATATTTCTTTTTTTTTGGATTGCACAAGGGAATTTCTAATTTGCATTAATATTGACATTCATTTTTCTTGTTTGAAGTGCTCGAATAATTTGCTGTGACTTCAGGATACCATCATTATATGATTCTTCCATGCACTTTTTAACATTTTCATCAATATCACGAGCTTTTCATTATGATGATCGTATGCACCATCAGCTTTATAACCAGTCACTTGATCACGGTCTGCATGATGTAACAGATGAATACTTTCACTACATTGAGGTTCACGAAATTTAGCTTTATTGCATCTGTAATAAACTCTTCGTTCATCTTCCGTATAACTTGTATACTGTTTTGACCAGATATTTTCAATTGATGCCTCTGCTTCCTCAGCATTATCAAATGTAGCTTCTTTAACCCAATGTCTAGATCTTTTCTTCTTCTTGAGTTTTTCATTGCGATTTAAACCATTATTTTCTTCGACAACTTCATATAATAAATCACTTTCATATTGTGCAACCTGTACCACTTCCATCTTTTTTGTTTGTTTACACAGCTGATGATGAGAGGTAGGGTAGAAACAAAGATTATGCATATATAATCATATCTGTCGTACTTGTTATCCATACGACATAGTGGAAGAAGAAAAAAGAAAGTAAAAAATAAATCATAATATAGCACATTTGAGTTCCTATACTTATCTTTTTAATTTACAGTTAAATAATTGTATTTATTGATTCTCAAATTTATTTACAAAACTTATTAATTAAAAACTGATCATTGAAATATTTTATTGATCAATCATTCGATTTACTGATTTTATAGTATTCTAATGTACTGATCATTTCATCCGTTTTACTGATCAATTAAATCGTAGCCTTTCTCTTTATTTTGTCGCTAATATTACACTTCATAAAGTATTTCCAACTATTTAGAACAATCAACTTTTATTTGATATGCTTTTTACTGATAAAAATACACAAACACGAATTTATCCATTTTCTATGTCGAGAGATGAGGGTATATTTTATTTATTTTTGTTGAAGATAGTTTATGAACTGCTAGGTGTTATTACTGTGAATGATTACAGAAAAAGTTGGTGCGTCAGTAAAAATTTTATTTTTTTTTTCATGATAGAAACTTGTTTCTTCTAAATACACAGTAAGTGAAAAATTCAATGAGACAATGTCGAACAAATATTCAATGTTTTGGTTTTACGGTATTCTTTAGAGTTACATCCTTCAAAATACAAATCCAATGATTTATATCAGTGTACAAAGTTGTGATTGAGATGTGCTATTACTACTGCCATCTTTCGGTAATAGCTGCTTCATTTCATTGAGAAACATCAAATACGTATTAGTCGATAATGATGCAGCATGTAATTCCTTTGTTTCAGAACGAAGCGTTTGCAACATTAATGGAGAATTATTACAGCATAACTTATATAAATCTATTAATATTTTTCCATCCATGAATTGGCATATTGGTACCATTTGATTAAGCTGCTTATCAAGTAAAAAGTCACGAACATTAGCTGGAGTCCATTGAAGTACATCCTTGGGATAAGAGTAGACGACACACTCTTTTCTAAAATAAAAATAGACTATCGTGTAAAAGTAGCTATTGTCGTATTCATTCAAAACAGAAACAATCTATATTCGTGAGTCTCATTCTCTGGAGTTACGGTTACCGAGGACAATTTTTCAATATCAGCTTGTACAACTAAAGGATGACCCATAATAAACGGTCGCACTTTCCACTGCATATTTTAATTTCAAAATACGTCTTATTAAAAAAATAACAAAATATGCGACAAGATGCAGCGCGAAAACCTCTACAATCCACGCACTAAAGCCTATTGTAATTGTTTTCAAAAAAAACAAAATTCTGTGCAACCAACTTTTGCACGGCCGAAATTTGGTCATACAAAATTTTGTCTATTTTGAAAACAAAAACAAAAACAAAAACAATAAAATGGTTGGTCCTATGTAAATTGTAGAACTTTTCACGCTGCATATTGTGGTATATTACATTTTTTAATAAAACGTATTAGATGGTGAAAAATAAAATGCAAAATGCGATCATTCGTTATGGATCACCCGTTATTTGTATCTAATGTAAATTTTATAATGGATATGGATAAGAAAGAAGAACAATTTCAACAATGAGTATCTCAACGACTTAAAAATTGAATCATACCTCTCTACTACGGCATCTTCAGCGTTTGGTTGTGATAATCTCGATGCAGCATCTTTTTCATCAACTGGATTTTGATGAAATTGTGACATAAGTTGAGCATAAGCAGTTTCGAAATTCAATTTGATAAAATCCACATACATTCGACCAGATATTGTAAAGGCTAGCCAACCTTGCGGTTTATAACCCATTTGAACTCGCAATGGAATCAAGATACGTTGCTTTTCAAATGCATACTGTGCTTCGGCTTGACAATAAGGACTGACACAATAACTATCACTCATACAGATGAGAATATAACGCGATTGTTCAATTGCTTCAGCCATTGCTTGCATCATGATACCATGCATTTGTTCAAGATCGATCCACACGCGGAAATTGTCGGCAACGAGAGCTTTGTGTATTTGATGGCATAGATCTTTGTCTCTATGAGAATATGATATCATTACATCGTATTGAAATTTCGTTTCAGTTGTTTTATATATTGGAAATAATCGCCATAAAATACCATCGACAATTTTTTGTAATTCAGGCGATTTCGAAGAAGTGGCCAGTGTTCGTAGATACTGAATAAAAGTGCTATTTTTCTCAAGTAATACCTTGATTTCACTGTTAAAACTGAGTGACATGAGAATGTTCAGTGAACGTAATTGTATTTTTGTACCTTCAAATTGATATTCAGTTGCACATCGCAAGAGAAGAGGTAAACCATCTGTTTGCCTGGCAAATTCCCCTCGGATTTGATTATGTTGAATGAGAACTATAATCAAATGAACAAAATTTACATAGATTTTTGTAAGTCGTCTCTGTCTGCTTACTCTTCAAACTGAGAAGTAAATTTTCCAACCGTTGTCTTAGTACGATGACATCAATCGTTTTTTTCAAATAAGTAATGAAAACAGTTGTAATTTGAGCTGGATTTGCTAATTGTTTAATATCATTATCAGTAAGAACAGCGGCTAATGTTCGATAAGCATGAAACTGAATTTTATCATACTTCGCTTCAGTAAGTCTGATTAGAAGTGGTGTAATATTATTTTCTTTTAGTTTATCACGAAGTTCCGGTAAGAATGTTGTAGTATATATATAAAGAGTACTATAGCAAAAAAGTTGATTCACTCGGTATTGACGGTTGTCTGAGGTTGAATCTTGATTCGCTACATCCCATAATTCTTTTCCTTGAACAATGTTCAGTACATAATCAAGAATTTTCTTATGTTGTAAATCGTAAGCTGATAGAAGATGTTCATTAGCACATCTTTGACAAAGTAAAATCAGTGAATAGATAGGCCAAATGACTGGCTCTTGCCAATTATCAATCGATGGTAAAAAATGTTCGAAGATTTCAGACGCACGAGTCAATGTGACTTGTGCTATTGTAGAGCAAATCTCTTCTTGAAGTTGACCCCAATAGGATTTAATATATGTTGGACATGTCACAAGAATGAGTTTTTGAAAAGATGTCAATTGATCTTGTTTAGTTGATAATTGAAAAAATGAATTTTTATATTCATTTGATTTGAAAAAGTTAACAACAGGCATGATCAATGTCAAAAGAATTGGATCATCTTGAATAGTTGGACGATCGTCTTGAAATTTATGGTATGCATCAATCATATGTTCAATACTACCAATTAGATGGTCATTGGATGTGGGCGAGAGATTAGTGAGAGATTCAATTAAGCATTTAGTTAGATTCGAATCCGCAAAGAACTCACGAACAAGTTGGATATTTTTATCGTTGGTATGATTTGTTACTTGAGAGAATAATTCACCAATGCGACATGATAGAGTAAAATTATCAGCGGATTTTTTAAGATTATTAATAAATGCATGTCGAATACGAATAAAGAATGGATGGTCAATAATATTGATACACTTCGAACTTATCTGAATAAGTGTATTCACAATCTCGCCTAGATATTCATGATCATCTGCTGGTGCTCTGCTCATAATATCATCGAAGTAAGACTTCAGCTCCTTCTCATTATCACCATCCAATCCACGAAGCGTCGATAGAATTGTTGAAGACATTATTAGAACAGTGGTCTAGTAATAGAAGAATCACTAACTTACTTTTAATCGCCGTACGANTTTGAAAACAAAAACAAAAACTATAAAATGATCGGTCCAATGTAAATTGTAGAACTTTTCACACTGCATCTTGTGGTATATTTTGTTTTTTAATACAACGTATTAGATGATGAAAAAATAAAATGCAAAATGCGGTCATTCGTTATGGGTTACCCGTTATTTGTATCTAATGTAAATTTTATAATGGATATGGACAAGAAGCAAGAATAATTTCAACAAAGAGTATCTCAACGACTCAAAAATTGAATCATACCTCTCTACTACGGCATCTCTAACGTTTGGTTGTGATAATCTTGGTGCAACATCTTTTTCATCAACTGGATTTTGATGAAATTGTGACATAAGTTGAGCATAAGCAGTCTCGAAATTCAATTTGATAAAATCCACATACATTCGACCAGATATTGTAAAGGCTAGCCAACCTTGTGGTTTATAACCTATTTGAACTCGCAATGGAATCAAGATACGTCGCTTTTCAAATGCATACTGTGCTTCAGCTTGACAATAAGGACTGACAGCATAACTATCACTCATACAGATGAGAATATAACGAGATTGTTCAATTGCTTCAGCCATTGCTTGCATCATGATACCATGCATTCGTTCAAGATCGATCCATACGCGGAAATTATCGGCAACGAGAGCTTTGTGTATTTGATGGCATAGATCTTTGTCCTTATGAGAATATGATATCATTACATCGTATTGAAATTTCGTTTCAGTTGTTTCATATTTTGAAAATAATCGCCATAAAATACCATCGACAATTTTTTGTAATTCAGGCGATTTCGAAGAAGTGACCAGTGTTCGTAGATACTGAATAAAAGTGCTATTATTCTCAAGTAAAACCTTGATTTCATTGTTAAAAGTGAGTGACATGAGAATGTTCAGTGAACGTAATTGTATTTTTGTACCTTCAAATTGAAATTCAGTGGCACATCGCAAGAGAAGAGGTAAACCATCCGTTTGCCTGGCAAATTCCCCTCGAATTTGATCATGTTGAATGAGAACTATAATCAAATAAACAAAATTTACGTAGAATTTTTGAAGTCGTCTTTGTCTGCCTACTTTTCAAAGTGAGAAGTAAATTTTCTAACCGTTGTCTTAGTACGATGACATCAATCGTTTTTTTCATATAAGTAATGAATACAGTGATAATTTGAGCTGGATTCGCCAATTGTTTAATATCATTATCAGTAAGAACAGCGGCTAATGTTCGATAAGCATGAAATTGAGTTTTATCATACTTCGCTTTAGTAAGTCTGATCAGAAGTGGTGTAATATTATTTTCTTTTAGTTTATCACGAAGTTCTGGTAAGAATGTTGTAGTATATATGTAAAGAGTACTATAGCAAAAAAGTCGATTCACTCGATATTGACGCTTGTCTGAAGTTGAATCTTGATTCGCAACATCCCATAATTCTTTTCCTTGAACAATATTCAGTACATAATCAAGAATTTTTTTATGTTGTAAATCGTAAGCTGGTAGAAGATTTTCATTACCACATCTTTGACAAAGTAAAATCAGTGAATAGATAGACCAGATGACTGGCTCTTGCCAATTATCAATTGATGGTAAAAAATGTTCGAAGATTTCAGACGAACGAGTCAATGTGACTTGTGCTATTGCAGAGAAAATTTCTTCTTGAAGTTGCCCCCAATAGGCTTTAATATATGTTGGACATGTCACAAGAATGAGTTTTTGAAAAGATGTCAATTGATCTTGTTTAGCTGATAATTGAAAAAATGAATTTTTATATTCATTTGATTTGAAAAAGTTGACAATAGGCATGATCAATGTTGAAAGAACTGGATCATCTTGAATAGTTGGACGATCGTCTTGAAATTTTTGATATGCATCAATCATATGTTCAATACTACCAATTAGATGATCATTGGCTGTGGGCGAGAGATTAGTGAGAGATTCAATTAAACATTCAGTGAGATTCGAATCCGCAAAGAACTCACGAACAAGTTGGATATTTTTATCGTTAGTATGATTTGTTAGTTGAGAGAATAATTCACCGATGCGACATGATAGAGTAAAATTATCAGCGGACTTTTCAAGATTATCAATAAATTTATTTCGAATACGAATGAAGAATGGATGATCAATAATATGGATACACTTCGAACTTATCTGAATAAGTGCATTCACAATCTCGCCTAGATATTCATGATCATCTGCTGGTGCTCTGCTCATAATATCATCGAAGTAAGACTTCAGTTCCTTCTCATTATCATCATCCAATCCACGAAGCGTCGATAGAATTGTTGAAGACATATTAGACTAGTGGTCTAGTAATAGAAGAATCACTAACTTGTTTTTAATCGAGGTACGATATTATACTAGTTGTGTATATGGTATGTCATACTGTTAGTGAAGAGCGACGAATAGATTGTTTCTTCTCATAAAACCACATGCGAGAGCTATTTTACTCCGTTCTTTTTTTGCTTTCATCAAGAAAAAAACTTGTCGTTCTGTTGATTGCATGGTGACGTCTCTCTTCTAATATTTCATGTTGCTTGTCTCATATGAAGAAAATGTTGAAAAAAGGATGTTATTTCTTTTCTTGACAAGCCAATGCAAAGTTACAGTCTTTATATAATCTTTATTTTTCCATAAGATAAATGTTGAATAGTATCGTCCGCGGAATTCGATGGATGAATCATAAAATAGTATGGCAGAGAACTCAATCTATATGAAAATATTTTCTGTTTCATCATTTGATTCTGGAAGTGTTGTGAGCTTTCATTTTATGATCTGTCGAAGATCTGAATTGGCAAAAGGATTTTTATCAAAAAAACAGTAGCTGAGCCTTAAGTTGAATCGTTTAAAAGCTGCTCTTCTATAACAATTTACTTTGCAATCGATAGGCTATCTGCTGCTTCATGCAAATTTAATAATACTTTTTTTCTATTCGATAGCTATTCAGTGAGATATATAGGGCGTTTCATAAGTCTTGAGCCTTGCAAAAATTAGTTTTCATACAAATAAAAAGTACTCTCGAACCTAATGTTTTTATATGAGGTTTGAGTACTCGTGACACTCTTTCAAATGGCGTATTGGTGGATGATATCTTTGTGTCGAGAGCAAGGGAGAAACAGCAGACTTCAAGACTTCAAGACTTCAAAAGACTTCAACAGACTTCAGCCGCAGTGACTTCCTATTTTCACAAGACTTCTAAAGACTTCTAAAGACTTCTGAAGACTTCATAGAACTTCAAATGACTTCGCAAGACTTCATAAGACTTCGTATGACTTCATGGGACTTCATGGGACTTCAAAAGACTTCAAAAGACTTCGTTAGACTTCACAG